ACCATTCGGAGATTTCTCATGGATGAAGATTTCAACGTAATGAATATTGCTGATGATGCTCTTGAAGGATATATTTTACAAGTAGACTTAGAATATCCTCGCGACTTACATAACAATCACAAAGACTTTCCATTTGCTGCTGAACATCGCATACCACCCGGCTCAAAATTACCAAAATTAATGACAACACTTTACGACGAAAAAGATTATATTTCACACTATAGAAATTCAAAACAATGTTTAGCAAACGAACTGAAACTGACGAAAATCCACAAAATTTTGAAATTCAGGCAATCTTTTTGGCTCAAATCATATATAGATCTGAATACTTCTTTGAGGACTGCCGCAACAAATGAATTTGAGAAAAATCTCTATAAACTAATGAATAATGCAGTTTTCGGTAAGACAATGGAAAACATACGAAAGCATAGATTAGTGAAACTAAACTGGGCGTCAATTGAAACGTTAATAGTAAAATTTGGCATCAAATTTGAATTCTCGTAATTTCTAAAATATTGAACGAATTTTGAATTGCCGCCCAGATTCTGAAAGCCTTTTTCATCGTCTCTCGAACCGTTCCTTACGGCATCTTCTAAATTGATCAGGACTCATGATACAAGGTGAAACAAAGTTTCGTGCATTTTGAAAAAAAATTCTCTGCCCCCTCATTTTGTCGGAAGACCACGATGCTCATATTTTATACAGTCATTTCATAAATAGCAACCATACCTCGAGATGTTATCGAGTTTCTGCCAAAAACTACTGTGGTTTCCGAAAAAAAAATTTTTTTGCATTTTTTTTTAAATGGACTAATCACCTGTATCCTCAAAACGATCAATTAGTCTATTTATTGTCATGACTGATTTATTGAAAATGGTACTCAAATGAATTTGGGTTTATCCTAATCGTCGTAACCTGAAATAATAATTATCTGCACTGAATTATCGTTTATATCACTATAGTGATCTTACCTAATGATATTTCCCATTTTGACATGATTTGAACGAGGCATCTTTAAATTTTTGAGGACTCGAATTACACTGACGTTTTCATGAAAATTGGCAATTGATATTTAACCTCTATGCATACCTACATTGTTTCAACAATACGTTGTTATAGAAACAAGGTATCGTTGTTTGTTTTTGTTGATGAGATGTGTTGATTTACTGCTCACTAAGGTAGAAAACTTTCATCATAGACTGCAAAGTAATAAATCATTGATTATTTTTGAGTAACCTGGTATACATATCTGCTCCAACGCTTTCCTGAAATGCATGAAAGCATCCATTTATGGAACTCCTCTAAAATTAGTCCATTTGAAAAAAATGCAATAAACATTTTTTTTTTTCGGAAACCACAGTAGTTTTTGGCAAAAACTCGAAAATGTCCCAAGGTATGGTTGCTATTTATGAAATGCTCGAATAATATATGAGCATCGTGATCTTCCGACAAAATGGGGGGGCGGAGAAATTTTTTTCAGAATGCACGAAACTTTGTTTCACCCTGTATCACGGGTCCTGATCAATTTAGAAGAAGCTGTAAGGAACGGTTCGAAAGACGATGAAAAAGGCATTTAGAATCTGGGCATCAATTCAAAATTCGTTCAATATTTTAAAAATAACGAGAAGTCAAACTTGATGCCAAATTTCACTATTAACGTTTCAATTGACGCCCAGTTTAGTAAGGTTGTGGGAGGGACGTTATGGAGCCAGAAATCTCATAGCTAGTCCACGATTCCGTGGTAGAACAATTTTTGAAGAAAACTTGATGGCCATAGAAATGCAGAAAGCCGAAATAATTTTTGATAAACCTCTATACGTAGGAATGGCCATTTTAGATTTATCAAAATTGTGTATGTACAAATTTCACTATGAGTATATGCTTCCGAAAATGGGTATTGAAAGGTGTAAATTATTATATATGGATACAGACAGCTTCATATATGAATAATTGAAATGTGATGATGCATATGAAGAAGTTATAAAGGCTGATCTCTCTCAATTTGACACATCTGAATATGCTCCAGATAATAAATATAATATGCCACTAGTCAATAAAAAAAAGTTGGGTTTATTAAAAGATGAAGCAAATGGGAAAATCGTTACTAATTTCGTAGGACTACGTTCGAAAATGTATGCATATAAAGTACAAGGGAGTAAGGTTGTCAAAAAATCGAAAGGGGTGAAAACTAATGTTGTCAAGAATAAAATTGGGTTCGAAGATTATTTGAATTGTTTGAAGAATTTCAGGGAACAAACAGTGTCTCAACGTACTATCCGTTCATATGCCCACAATGTGTTTAGCATTCAACAATCAAAAATTGCTCCGAGTCCCAAAGATGATAAACGGTATTTGATTCCAGGTTCGTTTGACACATTGCCATGGGGTCATACACAGGCAAAAGAGTAATTTTTTCATGTAAATCAACTCATCAAACATTTATAAAGAAAAAAAACTCATACACCTACACTTACACTCCTCTGTTTTAGATTTAGAATTATTATTTGGGCTCAAAGAACGATATGAATGTGATATGGATTTACATGATTCACATTATCATTATGAGAGATTCATCGATTCTGGTGATGAACATACAGATATTGATTTTTGACTTACTTTAACAATATTCTACAGATTTTAGTAGCATGATATCATCTTTACAAATGTAGTTTGCGAAAGAAGACAATGAAAAATGACTTTTTTTCAGAATATGTTTTTTCTTATGAAAAAGTAATACTTGTCCTGGCTATTAATGTAAATATAATATATGCTGCCTATCTATCATTAATAAAATAATTATTGAAATTTTCTGTGTATCATTGGGATGGGTAGTGAGTGTAAGAGAGAGTGAGAGGGTAAAAAAGTGAGAAGAAGAGAGAGAGAGAGAGATTGGATGGATATTAGTTGAAGGTATGGATGTGAAAAACAGTTGTATCATGTCTTCTGACGAATACAGACGTGCACTAGAAGAATTTGGGTTGAAAGTTAGAAAGCTCAGTGCAGACATCCAATTGTATGAGCAGAAAGTTTGTTTGTTCAAAGATTTCGAGCAATTGAGTATTTGGGACAAGGTGTTCACAGAACCAAGACGTTCAGTTGCAACGTTTCCTACATCGAGAAGAATCCAACCAACACAGCTAGATGGCGATACTGAAAGCAAGCTTCATTCTATTGACAGCTCTGAGCAACAACGTCTTCTACACAAACATACCATATGATACGAGGAATAAAGCCATATGTTTTGATATGAATCGTACACAACAATGTGAGTGGAAGATGATGAATAGAATGCATGTCAATGATAACAAACTACCTGTATATCCAATCGACATGCCTCGAGTCAATGGAAGCACCATCGACTAAAAATTGAAATTATCGTTTTCTGATAGCTGTGACGGCGAAACTGGGGACTGGCAGACATTAACATTGGGGAAATCACCCGCAAAATTAGATGATGATCAAGATTCTGTCAATATCATTGCAATTTTGACACTTTGTTGTACACTAATATGTTCACTCATTTTAATCTCACATGTTATTTTCATTATACTGAGAAATAAGGGATGTGAAAAACTCTGAAATTACGATATATAGTTTTTTATTTAGGTATTAAATTACATAGCCAATCATATGAAGTATCGACATTGTAAAGACTGCATATACCTATACATATACCTTTAGGAAACAATTTTATCTCATCTTGCAATGCCAACAAATTTTTAGGAATTCAAGTAGACACTAAACTAAACTTCCAAAATCATGTTTTTGAACTTAGCAAAAAGTTATCTTCTAGTTGCTTTGCCTTGCGTATGGTCTCGAATGAATTGGACATGGCAACTGCCAAAATTGTTTACCATGCATTATTCGAGTCACATGCCAGGTATGGCATATCTTTCTGGGAAACATGCAACAAACAGCACTTCAACATGATTTTCACTCTTCAGAAGCGAGCTGTTCGTTATCTTTGCAAAGTTGGTCCCAGAGTATCTTGCAGAGGGTTATTCAAGAAACATAAGATCCTCACTCTCCCATCTTTGTACATTCTTGAAACAGTATGTTTGATACATAAAAATAAATCAACATATGATACCATTGTTGGATCCACCCGTCAAAATAGCAATTTGAGGCTTCCTATTCCTTCTTCAAATTTGATAAAAAACTCAATAATATATAATGCTGTTAAGCTTTATAATCATCTTCCGTCCAGTGTTAAGGACATAGGATCAGTTGATTTTTTCAGACGTTCGGTGAAGTTGATTCTTGTAGAAGAGGCATTTTATGATATTCAGGAATATCTAAATCAAACTAGTAGATAGTAGTACTTCTCGTTCTTGATGACATATTATGTAATGTGTCTTGTCTATATATAGTTCGTTTCAGCTTGTTAGTTTATTCATATGTATATATTTGATTTTATGTGTACCTACTTTATATTTTTATATATGTAAAAATTTTTACGACTTTGTCAATGAGATATAAATCTTCGGACAATAAAGCATATTTTGATTGATTGATTGCACTGGAACCTTCCTCCGCGAGAATGATTCATGCAAGGTGGAATGGATTGTTGAAACGTTATTGGTTGCCACCAAGAATTGTCAAAATCTTCTTAATTCACAATGTGATTGGTCATCTCCAACTCTGCACATTTTCGCTGCAAGAACTGAATCTTTTGGTGTCCTCTAACGTAGATGATATTTGTTTGCTGCAGGTTGTCTTGTAGTATTCCATCGAACTCATTTGAATCCACATAACCACTGGAATATCTCAAACCATGCACATAGCGTTCCAGGTGATTTGCCATCTTTTTATCTTCTCTGCTTAAACTCGAAAATTCTACAGATGGCTTGAATATAAAATGACTCGTCTTTTTGCCAATGCGAATGGTCATTTCCTTTGGAATGAATTCACCATCAACCATGAACCCTTGAATGTCAACCAGTGCGATCTCCATGATCCTTCGAAGCAAACTGACGTCTGACTGATGCAGCAACACCTAACTAGGCAATATTTCGAACAATTTCGCTGAGTGGGAGATGTTCCATGATTTGATCGTGAATGATGATGCAATAGGCTTTGGTGTCGGAAGGGTAGCCTGTAGTCGCTTCAATGTCCAACTCTATGTCAACTGTAGACGACTTTAGACCCAGATAGCGCCTCGAGCAATCGATAACAAACATTGGTCGGGATTTGAATTCGGCAAAGTTTACTAGAGAGCGCTTTTCTTGACAGTTATGGTAGCTCTTGTTGAACTCTGTATAGTTGAAGTGGGCGTCGGCATATTGGTCTCGGGAAAAGTCCAATAGCATTCGTTCTTGCGGATAATAGTTGCTATTCAGAGCCAATCGTTTGGATTTGATGTTGGCATTATCGAACAAGGTGATGTCTTCATGCAAATTATCGGCTTTTTTCGCTTGGAAAAATACTATAACATATCTTGGACTGTCCAATGCAGAACATGTCTTGACGGACTAGATTTCTATGGTAGATCCTTGTGTGAGTGCTGGTAGCTCGTGCAATTCCCATCGACGAAACGGTATCATCATAGACTCATCTGCTTTGATACGTGTCAACAACTGCAACTTTATGTCATCGTTGGGTGTGAGATGTGACACTTACAAATTTATGCTTTCTATCGTTGTTTTAGCAATACTTTGAGTCTGAGGAGATCCTGGCAAAGCAGTATTCGCTCTCTCGACAACCTTCACACTGTTGGCATCATTGCGAGCTCTCACTAAACGGATTGACTGCTTGCCCCACGTTGCCACTTGATGATCATTGAAGATGGAAAACAAATGTTTCAGTGGAATGTTCATGCTAAACGTACCATCGGAGTTAAGGATCGGAGCATTGAAATAGTTCCAGCCTGCTATGGCTAGATGACGTGAGTCTTCAAGCGTATAACACAAGTATCCTCGCACAGTACTCGTTATTCCAGGATATCTGACAGTGTCCAATTCTTAATTACACAATTCATAGGTACAGGAGTCAAAGAGATAGGCTCCAGCATTGTGGGTTAATGTACCAGTACCACCACCGGTCACCTTCAATTTACCCTTGATGGTAATGATACCTTCAAACATGGCCAACCACGAATCTGCTTGATTAACCGTTATATCGATGACATCATTGTTCTCGAATGATTCCACATATGGATAATAGGTACGCCATTCCACTATAGTGATGCTTTCGTCGAGTCTGGGTTTGTGGAAAACGTCGAACACGGGTGCTAACAACATTGTAGTCTTTGAGTGATTTCAGAAACAGGACACTGAATAATGTCAATGTTTTTCTGTTGCTGCTGCTGCTCTTCGAAGACACGACTGCTTTGGTGTACGGTGTCGAGAGAACTGGTGCTGATGACGTTGCTGATGATGGTATATTATCTGATTTATAGGAGTAATCAAACACTAGTACCATCTTGCGAGTTTCTTCAATTCCAATCTTATGATGATTTCTTCACCTCTAAAATTCACCTGCCTGAAATCTTGGTCTAGAATCTGGAGTGTGATGATAGGCAATTCTCGCCCGCTGACGATAGGTAGGTAGATTAGATTCCTGAGAGTCTCGTCTATCGCGTAACCAGGATCGACTGCAACCGCGAACTCGTAGATCGTATGTGATGGTCTATCGTTGTAGAGGGCTCCGGCAGTGACGTTGCTATCAATGTGAATGGTTCTCACTTTGGTTATGCTGACTGACAAATCGGAACTGTGCACCTGTTGTGCGTTCAACAATCTATTTGAAAATCCCAAGACTTGCGCTATGCTATCCTTTGGACGAAAATCAATGGCAAACCTGTTGCTCGAAATTTCGCACTTTAGCGTATTGTTGTTGGGCTTCAACGAGAATATATCATCAACGTCCTTTGCACTCGATATACCCAATTCTTTGCGAATAAATGTCTCAATGTCCACAATGTCGTATGAACCTTCGGGAATATGGATGATCTTTTCCACCTTGGTCTTATCTTGCAAATAAAACTTGGATCCTTTGTCAATATTTGGTATACTGTTGTATGAATGAAATCCCAATAATGCTAGTCCGTAATCAGAGTCTGGATCGAGTTGAAGTGGTGTCAAAAAGTCTATGGAAAGCGTAGATGTACGACCTTTCAACGTCACAATCAGAGACATGACTGATGTACAATGACTGTGTTACTTGGTTTCGTTGAAGAGGAATTCTAGACATAGACGTCCACAATTACTATGATTGAAGTTTTGGTATTGCTCATGTGATGCCCAATAAATTGGTAACGACTCTTGGGCGAATTGAAATATTTTTGTCTAAGCACATGTACTATTCACTGTCTAGAAACGAGCTGCCTCCCCCATTAGCATTTTACGACCTGCTTCGCGCTGTAAAGGTATTATATAGGGTATACCCAGCAGTATACCCAGAGGTGTTATAATTATTATTCAAACTTGAAAACTAACAATAACATAGTTCTTTCTTGGCAACTACTATGAAATAAATAGGAATTGATCTGGACTGCTTCACAATCATTCAGTTTTGATGAGAACGATATAATATTATCATAACAAGAATCTCATCATGAAATAAAGGGATTTAAGAATGTGTGAATTTCAACAATCCACAATTGATAAATCAAACCTCTCAGCTCTCGAGCTATAGGGTGTTGGAACTTTCAGGCAAAAATTATTTCATTATTATAACTTCAATATACTGTCTACAACAAGTTTCAGGGCATATGTTCACATGAACTCTTTTCTCAAAATTGAATCACACCCTGTATAACCAGGAGAAAACGATCGATAAAATTCTAATAAAATAATAAAGATATGGTACAACTATATAATTTTAGGTATCTTCAGGTAACCCATTCATTTTCAAAATTATGATGAGTTGAATGAATCTCTCAAAAATCTTGGGTATATCTGAGGGTAAATCTGAAATAGCGCACTTTCGAATACGGGAAGTAAATTGAATTCCCTTATTTTTGATAGAACCCCACATTTTACAGATATGTTTGAAGTAGTTCTCAATAATAATTTGTCATTACCCAGTAATGCCATGCTACATTTTCTGATGAAGTATTTAAAAATAATAAATCGGTTTTTGGGGCACCTTGTGTTTTAAGATAATGAAAATAGGTACCGGTATATGTTTTGAATGATCCTGCTGCAAAATCCATCGATATTTTTAGTGAAAAACTGTCTCATAGTACTTTTTGAAATTTGGGTCAATGAAATTGGTCACCGTTGGTCATGAAAACAGTACAAGATTGAAATCATTTTTTGGTTGTATGGGCATTTCGATTACCTATCCAACAAATACATTGTTCTCAGATTCTATCATATTATCATAGTAACAGGGGTGGTAAGCTCTTGCAGTGGACACACTGTATATAAAAATTAGAATTGAAAGAATCTCTATCTGGCAATGAAATTCCAATCAAAATGTTAAAATGTCACTGTTGAAAATAATACATTTAAAAAAAATATCAATGGTGAACACTTCAAAATATGAATTGAAAAATGTATCACGGTTTATATCATAGAATAATGAAAATGGGTCGAGACTCCGAAAACAACAAAAACTGTCGCCGGCGACTCCTGTTTTCGAAATGTTTCTAAAATGCCTCTGAAAAGTAGTAAATTTGTTGATATCGGCAAGAAATTCTTTCTTGTTGCTGTTTTGTCTGTTTGGTGTCGATCCAATATTATAGACAAATAAATCTCGGAAACTACAAATTGATATCAAATAGAGATGAAGAGTTGTAGTAGGTATTTGAATATGCACTGTTCATATACAACGAATTGAATATTGTTTTATTATAATTTCAATGGTATATACATGCATACGATATTTCATAAATATAATATAGGTTCGTACGTTCCAAGAGATGAAAAAATTACGTTTCGTTACGAATTTTGCTTTTAATTCTACGACAGCATCCTACTCACGTTTGATATTTTGATTATCTTTTATTGAAATGAATATAATCATAAACACATTCTCCTCGGACAACATTCCTGATGAGATTTCCTGATTTTTGCTAGAATTCACAAACCTAATTACAGTATGTGCAGTTGGAAACCGCAAAAACATCGTATTTTTCGGAGCGATGACCGCTCAGAAAATAAAATAAGTATGGTAGGTTTATAGTGACGAATGAAAATGGCTATATCTATGAGGGGTAATCGACTATAGGAAAATTCTGCGTTATTCGAATTTGGTATTTTCATAATACTATATATACTATTCCAAATGGTTCCTCACTTGAACTGGTACAAAAATATTCGAAATATCAATCATTAATTATCATTTATGATCCCAAAACTATCAACTCCTGTGATATAAAAATATATAACATATTTTCTCTACAATCAACGTAAAATCCAAGAATGCAATAATATTTCAGGTGCCCCTATAGAAAAAAAATGAACTCATTTATATCGCAGCGCTCTTTTGAGACACTCCATATGGATAAATCTCAAACCATCGAATAGATTGAATCAATCCCCACAGCTTATGCATTCAACAGTTTTTGTAATACGTAAAATAAAGAAGTTACAAGGAGGGCGACCCCTACTATATACATATTACTTATATGAGACATTAATAAATTTGTGTTAGCTAGATTGAGTAAATTTGTGATATATTTCCTCGTTTTTTACATCAAGAATAAATCTAATACGAGCAGTGAAGCTCATATAAAAAATGGCTTATGAAAATTATTGCGAATGACTAAGTGACAATGACAAACTATCAATAAACGCCTTGAATGAAGGTAGCAGACAAATTGGTCATACAGATTGTCCAGAAATTGAAATTACACTATATATATATACTATAGTGATTTCAAAAATGGAAAAAATAATCTAGTAATTGATCTAGAACTTCCACTCCAACCAGAAAAAAATATTAATAAGCCAGGTGATTGATTAGTGTGATAAAGTGCAGTATCTTCTATGTCGTTTGAGATATCAAATTGTCAATTTGAGAGATTTTAGCAATAGATAGTCTTGATGTCTTGAATCATTTACAGTATCACAGGGTGACAGGACACTGTTCTGAATCAAAGTAATATTTTTGTGAATATAGGAGGAACTTCATCAAACCTAATCAATCACCCTGTACTCCAAATTTATCTGCACGGTCTATCGAAGCCTAAGTATTATACTTAAAAATTAGAATTTCCGGAAGTAGATAATCGCGTTTGAAGATAATAGGGTGTATACCGTTTTCTTATCGCGCATGCTGATGAGAATAAGTTCTTATTTCATTAATAGAAATACCATCGAATCGAGAGATACTCTAGCGAAGTGAATATTTACCCCAAATCTTAGAAAATATTCAGAGATACACCAGACTATCTCGTACCACAAACCACAATAAGAAATTAGTTATTGAAACAGCGGGCGGTTGGAATAGATATTAGTCCGGGCGCATAAACCGAAATTTTAAAAGGATTTTCACACGAGTCGTTACCTATTTAATGGGCTCCACTGTACATGATTTTCGTGCCGACATCCAAATATTGGGCCAATTCTCTGGGCGGTTTCAGATTGCCATAACTATCGAAATATAAGACTTTTTCATCATTTTTTATGTAAGTCACCCAATGAGTGCCCGCATGATTGGAGGTATCCAAATTCAATACAGCACACTCGCGATGCCATGGACCGGTGGAAGGTAGAGTGTCCCGCATAAAAACACCTCGAAAATACGGTATTTTCAGCTGTTTGGCATACTTTATCACATCTTCATCGTACATTGTTTTATTGGGTAGCTTGTCTAGAAGTTTTTTGAGTTTTTTGATTGTTTCTTCAAGTACAACCCGAATCCTCTCGTCTTTTTTTTGCATTTTTTGCATCAATGACTGTCTTTGCGACTGCTCCGGCTTCTCCAGCTAGAGATCCTTGGGCTCCCAAGGCGACAAAGATTGGTATCAATGGTAGGATACCTCCACTGTGTGGAAGAGGTATGATTCTTGGTACTCTGATTTTTTTTTACCGTCAGCCCTCTTGATTGCCATTCTGGCTGCATGGAGTGCTTTCAATGCAGATTCATTCAGATCACTTCCTGATGTTGTACAACCACCACCATCTGACTTCGATAGTACATTTTTTATGAATTTGATAATGTTGGATAGGGATTGCTGTGATACAAGACCCATGCCAAGTTTTCGTTTGACCTTCATTCCGGTGGTGACAAGCCAAGCAGCAGCCTTCTCTTTGAATTTAGCGTTCTTCGACTTGACTCTCTCCCACGC